TGAGATTTTGCTGTGATTTATTATTTTCTTCCCAAGTTTAAAACAGTCCATTCTATTTTGCAATTGTCTGTTCTGTCTCACAATTGTCTTGACTTCTTCACCATTTAGAAGTTTTGTAACTTCTACTTATTTTCTCTTTTTGGTTTGTTGTTGTCCTCATTTACCAATCAATATCTCTGGTTCCCTATTTACAGTCTTTTAAGCTTATTTTTCTTTGGATACTTCTATAACTGGGTTGGTTTCTGGGTTATGTCATCATGTGTATTAATCATTGGTTGTTATTTGCTGTTGGTTCTCTTTCCAAAGGACTCCCTTTAGCATCATTTGTAAGGTTGTTCCTGTTTTAACAAATTTCTTTAATTTCTGCTTATCTGGAAATCTCCCAAATTTACCCTTATGTTTGAGGGTTGGAGATTTTTTTCTTTCAGGGTTTTGTATATGTCGTCCCATTGCTTTCTTGCCTGCTTGGGTTCTGCTCAGAAATCAAAGCTTAGCCTCATTGGTTGCCCTTTGCAGGTAACTTTTCATTTTTCCTGTGCTGCTTCAGGATTCTTTCTTTGTCTTTGGTTTTGGTGAGTTTGATAATGATATGTCTTGGTGTTTTTCTTTTGGGATCTGTCCTGTTTGGGGTTCTTTGAGCTTCTTGAATGGATATATTCTCATTTTCATCATACTAGGAAAATTCTCTTCCAACAAATCTTTGACAATTTTCTTGGTAATTTTATTTGTTTCTTCCTGTTCTGTAATTCCAGTTAAACTTACTTATTAATGATATTCCACAAAAATCTTGTGCTTCATTTTGTTTGATCTTTTGTCCTGGTTGATCCCTAAACAAAGTAGTGTTGAGGTATTTATCTTCAGTCTCATTAATTCTGTCTTCCATTAATTTAATTAAACTCCTTTGCTCAGTCAACATTATATCTATTTCTGAAATATTAATATTAGTATTCTAGATTTCTATTTATTTTTGTATCATATCTATTTTTTTATTTTGTCCATTTCTTCTTCAGTTGTTTTCCTAATTGTTGTAAAGTTTTTTTTTTCCTTCTGTTTACCTTAATTTTGTTAGTGTTTTCCTTGATCTTGTCATTCTTTTCTTTGATCTTGTCAGTGTTTCCCCTTATCTGCCTCTCAGTGCATTGAAGGTCCCCAAGTATTATAAGTCTTTTGAGTTCCTTATCAGGGAGTTCCAATGCTACTTCTTCCTCAGGGATGTTTTCTGGGTTATGAAAGGAGCTCTGGTGGCATGGTGTCTAAGGCATTTGACTGCTAACCAGAAGGCTGGCAGTTCACATCCACCAGCCACTCCTTGGAAGGAAGATTGGGCAATCTACTTCTGTAGAAATAGTGCCTTGGAAGCCCAAAGAGGGTTGCTATGAGTTGAATCAACTCAACAGCAATGAGTATGGAGAGTGTTTTTAAATCCATCATGAAGATCTCTTTGAAAAAAAGGATAAAGTATTTTATAATTATTCTATTTAAATTTAGAATTCCATTTACTTCTGAAAGGCTAGAAGGATAAAAAAGGTGTTAAGGTAATTAGAATATCACCTTTAATTTCAGTTCTGACTTTAACTCACATGGCAGAAAATTACTGTAGAAAAATAATTATTTTTTTCATTTAAATCACCCCAGAAAAATATTACCCAATTCAAGGCAAGATTTCAGATATCTAGTTAAGTTTGGATTTTC